TAATTCCTTCAAACCACAATTGAAATTTTGTTTTTTTCCGCGATATTTATAGTCAAAATTATTCGAGGAGCATATTATAGTGGTTTCACTTAATTACATCCTCGGAAGCACAGCGAATTGAAAACATAATGTATTCCATTGAAACCTAGCAACAGCAGCTTGTGAAAAGAGCTTAATCAAATTACATGGGCATGTATTATAACGTAAAAATAGAAAAAAAAGTTTTCTTTGGCTTTCTGCAGTATATAAGTGTATTGTTGGACCCTGGAGCTAAAGAAGAGATGCTTTCTGTAATTTTTTACCGAAACAGAACTTTGTAGTCCGCTTCTTGTTATTCCAGTACGTCAGATATCAGCTACGAATACGGAATTTAATATTTTTACCTTGATTATAACAAAGCATAGACATAACTTTACAGAAAGCTTCTCTTATTGCTTATCTCTGCCCGAGAGTACGGAAGAGCAAAAACAGATTTTCTCATTAAAAATCCGAGGCCCCTGTAATTAGTTTTTCACTCGCAACGAAACGAAAACGCAGAACAAGCCATTATAATTAAAAGGCCCGGAGACAAAAGAAGGTTTTTAATTCAGGAAGCACCGGCAGAACGACAACCTGAACTGTACGACTCAAAAGTTAACCCTTCACATCGCCGATTCACTAACAAGTTCTATTTTTGTACAATCACCCACTTTGGGAACCTGTTGCCGGTGTTCAATTTATACCGCGTTTAATTCAAGACGGTACTGGGGTCGTCAGACAATAAAATTTACTGCAAATGGAATAGTGAGGAGAAACGACCGAGTCTACTCACGAACTGTCGTGTAATTCCTATAAAATGGGTTTATAATCTCCTCAGAATGTCTTTATCCTTTACTTGATTATCGGTATTAGGTATCGTTGGTTTAAGTTAATAAAAATACTGTAAATTAACTTCTAATCGTCCTTCGTCCTTTGACAGCTAAAAAAATAATAACGACACAGTCACATTCGTCTTTTGAATATTTCGACAAATTTTATCTCTGATTCTTTTCCTGCTATTTTCAGGCCCGGTAATTGATGGCGATATAAAGGCTTCTAAGCGTAGGGCCAATTAAGCGGGTAAAAAATATTGAGGGGAATCAATTGCAGACGTTTAGTTTCTGACAGCCGAAAATGAGTTCCACCCACGTTTTTTGCGGCTATAGTGGAGTCACAAACTAAGCCGTTTACATCTTCCTAAATGGTTTCAATTATTTCTAGATAAAAAGCCTTGCAATGCGATGGACAAAATGCGGCTGTCATTTGTTTTCTATCCCTACTAATATTATTAAACATACTCTCTTTGATACAGCCATACTTCAACTGGCAAGCTAGGAAATTTTTTGTTGGGATGTCTACTTTCAACTGAATATAAATAGATTCATTTCGATCGAATATCTTACAGTTTTCTATGAATAAATATATAGAAATACTAAAATACACATGTTGTTGACAAACGTATTTCTATGGGACGAAACAAACAAGTTTTTATTCAAAAAACTACCCCGTAGAGCCGCCGACCGCGACAGCTTTCAAATAAGTAATAAACCATTCGGTTTAGACTGCACCATAACCCGTTCTGTAAAACTATGAAAAGTTTATGAACCGTAATCGATTGCCGTAATCATCCAGACAGTTCCCATGAGGAGAACGTAGACTTGGAGGATATAAAGGACTGTGCACATAAAGCCCGGTGAATAGCCTTTCGCGCTCTAGTAAATTCCGAAATTTACTCCATAAAAGATGCAGGGGAATTTAGATGTAAACAGAGCGGCATAAAATTTAATGTATTATCGCCAGAATCTGAGTAAATAACGAAAAGCTTTGCTTTATCATTCGTTATTTTGTACTTTTATAACGGATCAGAAAATCTATTATAGAATTAAGAATCTTGGGAAACGTAGATTATTCATAAAACTGTAAAGTCTTTTTCTGCGTATTTCATATGCTTTTGTTTTGTGATCAAAATGCAATTTTGACCAATAATTTTATTGCAGAGTAGCCAAAAACAAATTAAGTCAATATAAATTAAATATCATATATCTAAAAACATTCTTAATGAAAAAAAAACCTTCAAAGTAATTCTGCTGTAGTTATATTGTCTTTTAAATAATTAAGTAATGATTCTAAACAACTTGAGGAAAGTTCCACAACTCTTATTTAGTTACAAACTTCTGTAGACACTTTGCGTTGTTGGTTGATGGCTTCAAGAACTTTCAGCAGTCCGACATAGATCAAAATATTAGTCAGGTAAAAATGAAAGTACACGATTTAGCTGTAACATATTAAAAAATGCATACTGGCTCCAAAGTAAACAAATGGAAACGCCATTAATAACTTGGCAGGTGATTAAAAAATAATCCTTCCCATATGTTGCATCTATTTTGGTGCAATATGTGAGAATTATGCAAAATGTATGAAAAATTTATAAAAAGATTAGTCCTGATCGTAAAGTTTGTATATAAAAATGTACAAGGCAAAAAATCTACAAAATATAGTGCCTATAAACATACATACATTTTTTAGATACTGAAATTGTTTCTTTAAAAATAAATGCTATGTTATTACATTTTATTATCCTAAATTTTTAGTGTATCTTCATTACAACAAATCACACTGCACTTAGGATAAGCTAAAACGTGGAAGAGGAGGGAAAATAGAATTCAAAAAATATTTTATGGTACGAATAAATGCCTAAAATATATCAACTGTGAACGAACTTAAAAGTACATCCCATGAAATAAATACAATTTCACTTTAGTAACATTTGAAACACATATCACCCGGAAAAACCTTAAAGGTATATTTTATTAAAACGTGTTTTTACGAGGGTAAGCTTAATGCTATCGGTATTGGGCACCAGGAAAATGCATTATATTTATTTGGCGAAATCCCTCCGTTATTGTAGGTGGTGGTCAATAAAAACATTATTTATTGTTTTTATATTCCCCAAGTACGTGAGAAAAATGTTCCTTTCTACTTTACTTGATAATAAAATAAATGAACTGCGTGGAAAGAAACAGTTTCTCCATAAGCGGAATAAAAATACAGGCAAACTTGCTAGTTCTAGCTTGTATTTTTAGAGGATATATGATAAAATTAACACAATCTGTAAGTCCCTGAACCTTTATTTCTAAATCTAAATCTAAATCTAGATATAAATCTCTTTATTGTACTGCAAGAAAGCTGCTCTTTAAGGCATTTCGAATATACGTCTGAATTATATCATTTCGTTCTAAATATATTATATTAATGTCCAGTTTTATTTTATTTTTTCTTAAAAGGCCTGTGACCAAGTCTGAAAAGTTAGCTACAATAAATATCCGTTACAAGAGATCTTGCTAGCAGAAATTGTTGTAATTAAAATAATTAGAAACGTTATTTCTCAAAACTCCAAATAAACCAAAAATAAAACCAGTGCCCGAAAGCAACCCTCATTTCAGCTTCGGGGAAATCAATATTGACCACAAGTTCCGCAAATACAACAGGACTGTTCCTGAATGAAAAAAGTTTCAATTCCGCCAGTTTTTCATTTATATTTACAATTAATTATGCTTATTGTTCGGTTTTCGCTGGTGGTGAAAACGAACAAAAGTCACTCCCTTAAATTTTTTATGCTTCAACTGATTTTGGGGTTGGTTCTTTGTATTCGTTTAATATTAAAATGCCATTATAACGGTGCAAAGCAGAAATCTACCCGATACACCCACTAAATAATGGACAAGATGGTACAGGATTTCGCTGTAAGAAAAGCAGAGACTTCATTACCAGACTAGCCTTACAATTTAAAATTTTGCAATAATTTTCTGTCTAATGTAGGGATATAGACAAAAGGGTTTTCAAATTATTTCAAGTAATTTGCTGTATGCTGTTATGTAATTTAAAAGAAGTAGATCGTTATAATAAATAAAGACTGTGAAATGACGTAATGATGTAGTGAAGCATGTGTATTTTTTTCTACAACTAATATTTTTACAACTTTTTCGTAGGAAATAATCTTTGAGTTTTGATAAATTCCCGTCTCAACGACAAGCAAGAGATGCCTGCTGGAAGAAATCTCAATCAAAGACTTTCCTTATCCGGCAAAAAACTATCCCAGAACTTATTTATTTGCTTGCTTAACGATGCTCCGACAACTTTCAGCTTTTTCAAATCGCAACTTACGTTGGTTGAATAGTAAACGCAAGGAGTCGATCAGCATTCAAGATGTAAAAGTAAAGGAGTTTTTTATTTGAACTTTAAGAAATACATGCTGAATATTTATTAACATACCTACCAGTACCAGTGAGAGTTACAAATTTTTGGAATTGTCTTAAAGGTGGTTTCTAGAGAATAACATTAGAGAGGAATGTTGTTAAAAATAATCTATTTGAGATGGGTTTTGAATCTATATAAAATTCTAAGAAAATAAAAAATACTCTAGGTACAGCATATGTAAACTCTCCTAGAATTTCCATAGATATGGATCCGAAAATACGATACTACCTAAATTTGCAAATGATTCCAGTTTACAAACTTATATTACATAAGGCTTTTTTATATTTGAGTTGTTTATTTGAGCATTTAGGAGGTTTCATGTTAATTTTCTACAAAACCAACAGATTTATTTTCAATTTCCGTAGACAAACAATCATAGACGTTGAAGCTGTTAAAGTTCCTCTTATTTGTAGAGAAAACACATACGTTCGGGCTTGGCGGTTCGCCAATTTATGTACGAATTAATGGGATACAAAAATCAGAAGAAGCAGAACATAGAACATCAATTTGCTTTTATGTAAATTACTTCGAATATTCCTGCGCTTAACAAGAATTTTAGTATCCTATATTGTAATCACATTCTCAAAGCATAGATATACTTTGTTTCCAGCTGTAGATATCAATAGATTGCTTAAGAAATAACTAACCTTGTCAAGAACATCTGTTCAATCAGGTTGTTCTTAAAAGATCGGGGTAATTTCTGAAATACCGTTTTTTCTTTCCAGGAATAGTAAATAGAGGAGACTCCTTCAGGAGGCGTCGTTCCCGAAGCAACAGTCTGTGTCCCCCTCAGATGGGGGGTGGCACCACTCCCTCGCCAGTGATGGATGAACCCGACCACAACACGCCAGTCTCCAATTATACAGTTGCTCTTCTGGGAGCCCAAGGTGTTGGAAAGACTGCTCTGATCAGCCAGTTCATGACTTCGGAGTGCATCAACGCTTACGACAGGCAAAAAGGTAAGAGCATGTGGGGATTTTTAGCTTTTATTCATTTTAAAATCGCATGTAATACCTATAGGAATGCTGAGGAATCACCAGTACCATATAAAAGGCGAAATATGTGAATGACATTGACACAGAGCTTTATCTGGACAGAAAAATCAATTTCGATACGAAACTATCCAAACCAATTCGTGGGGAATTTCCTATATTGTAGGAAATTATAGATAACATTGATAAAATGAAGAAAATGCCTGGCAATGTGAGGAAAGGACTGTTGCCCTTTTGAATATTATGTTTAATATTCAATAGTTCAAGTCTCAATTTCAGATTAATTGTTATGGAGAGAAACTAAGCAAAATCTTTATTCAATTCAATTTTCATTATTATAAGAGACGAAATTAACAGTTTTTTAAATCATCAAATTAACCAGTTTCATATGCCTTGTATACTCAGGATAGTTCATCCAATCCTATCCATTTGCCTGAGGCTGCTAAAATACAAAGCTTTTAAGGCTTATGTTCTATCTCTTTAACCTTTCACTTCGGCTGTATATTTTCACTAGAGTACTAGTTAAAATTGTTGCCAAGAAAGATAATACATTACATTAATATTTGAATAAATATATTTCCAGAAGCGTACTAATATTGGTATACACTATTATTACTATACATAACAATTTAGTACGTATTACAAAACTTTATAAAATCGCAGTTTGAAGACCTCCACAAATCGGTCGATGGGGTAGAAAACGATTACGTCCGTTCTGTATTTTTTTCCGCTCCAGACATGTCGTTTCAGATTTATTTCTTTCTATTAATTTCAATCGATATGTCTACATAGCTCCAATCCGCAATACACAGTTTATGTGGTGTCGGTCTTCCGACGAACTGCTGTTTCATCGATCCCAACTAATAGGATTGACTTATAGTCGGCCTGCCCAATCGCGGGTTTAACGCTAATTCGATATTAACAAGCAGAGTTGGTCAAAAAATACCAGCGCTCCAAGTAAGATTTATTTATTTATAAGTACAACACAAATAATAGAATCAGTTATGTGTATAGAATAGGGCTGTCTAAATCAGTAAATGATTGCTTAAAAAAGTCCTCCGTTAAGATTTGTGAATATACAGGGTGATTTTTAAAAGACTTGTTTTATTGTCACGTCTCGAATTTTTTAATCTAATGCTAATTCAAATTCAAAACTTTTTTTTTAATCAAGTGAAATCTTGTTTGTGTGGCTACAGATCTTTTGCAACCTAGATTTCTATTATCGAAGAATATTACTTGATTTCACTCAACGATTTAAAAAAATAAGTTGGCTTTAAAATAGAGTAAAAAGTACTGAAGTAAAAAGTACTTTTTTAACTTATAACAAATTAGAATTTATTTTCTGTATTAGATCTAATAATTAACAACAACTATCCAGAAAATCAGCGAGACTTGTATTATTATCGAATGTTATTAATAAAACGAAACAAATATATAAGGGGTTACTTTTTTTGTTAAATAAATACAGAAATACACTTTACCGAAGTTTCGCTTTTATCTACTCTATTTAGCCCCATTTCCGGAGTGGTTCCATGTCATCCCAACTTGAAGACACATTACATTCAAGTTTGAGCCACCTATAACTCCAAACGGGCAAAAACTCTACTTGCCTTGATTGTCTATTTAGCGCTGATGTATTTTGTTCCCATTTTTAAGGATTTTATCCACTCATAAAACGCTGCCGTTCCATTTTACAGCTACATTTGCTGGAAAACTCATTCGTCTTTTATATTTAACACCACTTATCTTCGAAAAGCTATCACGTATACAGCGTGATTATTTTATCTGGGTAAACACCAAAGATATATTAAACGTAGAATACTTTTCGTCGCTAGACCTCATTTTTCATCGATTGCTGAGAATCGTACAAGTTAACTGTGAGCAATTCTATCCGCATTGTGGTAAAACGGGAGCTATTTCGGGGCGAAACTACCGAAACAAGGCCTCCTTTGACGCAGCGGTGTTAATTAAGGGAAAGGTGTGCATTCCTACCAACGTGAGATCTTTTGCTTGCTTAGACACCGTTTGCCTGAAGTGAATATCGATTAGAACGCATCTAACTACCGAACTGTATTGCCTCTCGCAACGTGCATTCGTTGTTGGGTAACATATTGCTAAATTGATTAAAAACACTTAGTTGCGATGACGTGATTACACGGGAATAATGATGTAATGGAATATTGATTATATGGGATGCGTACAGGGTGATTGTTGTAATAGTAACTTTACCCAAACGTCGTGGAAATTATTCTTCCCAATTTTGTATTTTTGTTACATTAAATACCTCATTTTTTTTAACAACTTTTCTCAAATACAGGTTTTCCAATATCCCCTCCCGTACAAGAGATATAAGACGACTAGTATAGAGAAATTAATTTTTAGCAGCAGTCATTGTCGTAGAAAACAAGAGATTTCCAATGTTTCCTAACCGAATATTATATTTGTAAGTTAACATGAATTGACTGAGAGGAAAATCCACCTTTTGTAATATGCACAGCTAAATTCTACGTTATAAATCAAAAGATATTGGCATTAGCTACGTGACTTCAGTCGGTACAATGATAGAAACCAAAAGCGTACTAAGCAGTCTGAATTTTCACTGCTGGGTCCCCAGAATTTATATTATGTCAAAGAAATTTATTTGAATTTAATTTTCGATATTTCGTAAATGAAAAGTATTGTGTCTTGTTCCATAGATAACTAAGTATTTAAAAAGTAACTTTTACCTGAAAACTATACCGCTTTATTCCACATTTCTCGCACCAGTTTTTGGTCGCACGACTTCCTAGATTAAATTTTCGTCGAATGTTTTTCGCGCTGGTTCCAATCTAATAATTAATTAAGTTAGCGCTAGAAAATGACGTCAGTGGTTGGCTTGGGCATGAAAGCAAATTCATTACTTGCTGATAAATGTAATTGTATCTAATAAATCGTGTATAGCTCTGTTTATATAAATAGATAAGATAAATTCACGCCACGTACAGAAAAAATTGTTGAGAGGTCGAAAATAACCCAACTTATGCCGCAGGGTGTTTGATTTAACGATCTAGGAAGTGTGGATTCAAAATCACCGTCATCTATCATTTCCTAACCTAAAATTAGCAAGAGAGGCTGGTCCAGCGGCAGGTGTTTCCGTTTTATCTCAGTTCTAGATCGATCAGTTTATATTTTAAGATATTGCTCTAATTTACCGGCAGGAAGTATCTCTTTGTCAATTTGTTTCCTCGCTAAACGTATTTTTTACGTTCTATATTTGAATTTGCTAATTAAAAGTGGAGTAATTTCCAAGCTTTTTCAATTAATAACGCGGCACCTATTATTTGACTCACACACAGAAGTGTACGTCTCCGCAACGGCAACGCATCGCACGTGTGTGACGGGCCTAAATATGCTTTCTATTATTTTCTATCTTGAACCTAAAAAACTAGTAAATATCTTTACATGTTATTAAAAATTATTTTCAGGCCAATATAGGAACTTTAATATCAGCAAGAAACCGACTATTGTTCGATCCTTTGTATTGGCAATAATGATGTACTGAAACAAAGAAGGGCCCAAGGTAGAGAAGAGGCTATTGTTATAAGTTACTTTCAAACTCACCCTACAGCGTTAATAAGGGGGGCTTAAACGACTTAAATTTAACGCGATATGAAGGGTTGCGAAAGCCAATAAATTTCACGACTTTAAAATTAATAACTGGCCCAATTACGCCTTGAAGGCTTTGAAGGGTGGAAATTTTTTAATACTTAGTAGCTTTTGTATTTATACCCAATTTGGATGTTCACTTTGTCACACGAATTTCAAAATAAAAGTTATCAAAAAAACAGATATAATTTCCAGATTAATTTTTTAACAGTTTTGCTTGCAAATACAGTAAAATATCAGCATGCTTTTGTTATACCTAGAGAAATTATTTGAAAGACATTAAAAAAGAACAATCCCTAAATTTTGTATCCAAAAACACTATTAATACTATATCTAATATTTAATTACGTCCCTTCCATAGGTAAATGGTACTGAAAAACATTTTTTACATTAAAGCACAAACGATTTTTCTTCTGTCCAACGAAATACCTGGTTTAGATCATCTTGCAGTTTAGTGCAGTCATCAGTAGAATTAATTTCTCTGTAGATTTTGAAATCGCCCGCAAACAGGAGACACATTGGATGACATTAGCATTTATAACACATACGAAAGGCAACGGCACAAGGGTGGAGCCTTGCGGAACTCCCGCCCTTGCTTTATAAAACGCCCGAACAGCCTGAACTGTAATTTTGGTGTACCATTTACTGACTCTACCATTTTAATTATTAAAATAAATATTAAGTATCAGGGATGTGTAAACAACTGTTTTAACTTTTGGCAGAAGCAGGTTGCGGAATACTCCTTATTGTTCGTTTAAATCAAACTTAAACTTCTCTTCAGATGAAGAGATATGCGAAGATTTACAGGATGGTAGCAATGAAACCTTTAGTGTAATCGTAATTCATAACACTCATAATTAATAAAAATATACGGCAGATCAAAGAGCCGCAAAGTTATTTTAGTATATTCCTTAACATTGAATCATTCTGTTGACCATCGATTTCCGAGATTCAAAAATAAAATTGTATTTATATAACCACTTCAAACATTAATGTATGGAAAATATTTATTTGGATTTTATTTCGTAAACAAAACTGAAGATTTTTCAATTTTTATGGTTTCAGTTCATTTTCCTGGTATCTTTAAAAGTTTACGAAATTTTTTATACGTGCGGAAAATATCTTCCGTCGTTTTTATTAAATTCGGCGTATTCGTTTAAATTTTACATAATTTTTTCCTTGAGAACCCTGTCTTACAAAAATGTGCCAGGAAGGTACACAAACGTATTTTTTTTTGGATTTCTGACCACCGGTTGCTAGTTGCCACATTGTAATAAAAAGTATGAAGTATAGCAGAAACGAAAAGTGGATGATAAAAATGT